AAAAAATTAAAAAGTAGCCTGCAGTGACTGAGCAGCACAGTACATAATAGCTTTTTCAATTCAAATTTTTTTTAAAAAAATTCCACAGAACTTTCAGATTAATCACATTTGGTTTCTGGAATTAACTGATGGAATGTTTCCTTCTTCCTCCCACCTTTTTTAATGGAGACACCCAAATGAAACCAATACTGATGTTATTTTTCCCATTTTTTAAGTGACAGACTGCAGCTAGCTAGAGACAGGGACCACCTGAACCAGATGATGACTGTGTGAAAAGTGATCATGCGGACCCACTTTAGATTTCAGATCTCATTCTTTTTCCTTTTTCTTAACTTCTAAGAATTTATTGGGAAGGCAGTGGGAGAGAGAGAGACGGAGGGAGGGAGAACACGAGCTCCCATCTACTGGCTCACTCCCCAAATGCCCACCACACCTAGGACTTCAGAGGAATCTGGAGCCAGGAGCCAGAGGCAGGCATTGAACCCAGGCTCTCAGATGTGGGATGTGGACATCCTGACAACTGCTGGGCTAACTACCAACTCCCTCATATCTCATGCACCTGAGCCATGGATACTCATCTTAGATTATCACTATAATTGGCCAAAATGACAAACACAAAAGTGGAAAAATACGATTAATGACTTTTTTTAAAAAAACTCTGTGATGACTAGCAACTAATCTGACTAGTTGTTTTTCCCTCTACCAATCTGGCCATTATTTTTAATTGAATTGACTGGATGTCTTTGTGTCATGTAGCTCTACACTCATTTTAATCTCACCAGGAAATTGGAACATGTGTCAAAGCCTATGTTTTTGCCAAACAAAACTGGCCAGTTCTTCGATGGCCGCTGCTTAATAGTGTCAGATGTTTAGCCTCAAGATATCCCTTCTCCCTGTGATGGGGTCCAAACTTCCCCTAATATTTTAGTAAATGCATGAGATCTGAACAAAATGTTCAAAACCACAGTCCCCATTAGGAGAAAATAAAGGATGGCAAATGGCATCTAGGAATAGCTCTGGATGCTTTGGAAACCATAAAGGAATTCACTCTAACTCTGATATTCCAAATAGCGGGAAACATTCTAGACTATACTAAAAACCATTGGTATCCTAATCTGAAAATAATCTAATAGCTCCATAAACAGGACTCTTAGAGAAAATAATTTCCATTTCTCTTACACACTGTGATATGTAAGGGAAGAGGAGCACTAGGCTAGGAGGCAGAACTGGCTTTATTGAGTCTTGGTTCAGCAAGTGTTATGTCTGGCTAGAAAAAATAAGTAAGACAGGGTCCCAATGTTCAGAAAATCAGTGTGGGAGTTGAATAAGTTGAATAAATCTATCCTTGTTGTAAATGTTTTAGTAATAGTATGGACAGGAAGAATCTTAAATCCTGGCTCTGCCACGTGCTGACTCTCTGAACTTGTCCATCTCAAAACCCGCTCTGTGCCTCAGTTTTGTCACCTGTAAAATGAGAGTTTGGATTACAGATGATCTTCGTGCCAGCTCTACTGGGCCTTTTCTCTGCTCCAAAGTAGTCTTCCACCTGCTGCTGGTGTCCATGGACATCCCCCTGAGATCTCACACTGTGTTGTCACTCTTACTTGACAGTGCTGTGTGAAGGTTGGAGAGGACGGCCCACACTATTCTGTGGTTGTGTACCAGGCCATCCTGTTAGGCTAAAGGGTAACCTAGCAAGACTCCTTTCTCCAAGAGGAAGATGATAAAGGCTGAGGGTCTTGCTCCTCATCAGTCATCCTCCAGAAACATCTTCCTGGGAGTAAAGAAGTGTTGTGCTGAAATCTTTTCCCAGACTTGAGGGATAGGAACTTCTCTCTCTTTGCACCAGGTCAAAATGACTCTCCACCTCCATACCACACCCTGTGACTGAAAAGCTGTGTCTGAAAAGTCCCCAGAGTTTGGCAGTTGTGTCCACGGTAAAGAGCCCAGTCCTCATAGGTGGTGTTTTGAGTTCCACAGCTGTTTCAAAGGGAAAATACTAGAGCAAAGGTGCCAGGTGACCTCTTGTCACTTTGGAAGTGACATGAACTCTCTTGTTATCGCCTCCCCCTAATGATGGGATTCTAGCATTTGAATAAATCATTGGGGGAAAAAAAGAATGATATTTTAGAAGTCGTTGTTTACCTCTTAGTATACCTATTTTAACTTCAGAAATGGCATGATTATTTATCTTCACATCATTTCACATGTATCTGTTACAAAATCTTTATTTTTGGTGGGAAGTGGTGTAGTTATTGAGTGTGACTGTTCAAATCCAGACTCCAACCTAGGAATGGGCTTGCTGCCTAACTAAACCAAGCCTCAATTTCCTTGAATGTAAGATGTAGATAATAATATAATTGCTGGCCGGCGCTGCGGCTCGCTAGGCTAATCCTCCACCTTGCGGTGCCGGCACACCGGGTTCTAGTCCCGGTCGGGGCGCCGGATTCTGCCCTGGTTGCCCCTCTTCCAGGCCAGCCCTCTGCTGTGGCCAGGGAGTGCAGTGGAGGATGGCCCAGGTGCTTGGGCCCTGCACCCCGTGGGAGACCAGGAAAAGCACCTGGCTCCTGGCTCCTGCCATCGGATCAGCACGGTGCGCCAGCCGCAGCGCGTGGGCCGCGGCGGCCATTGGAGGGTGAACCAACGGCAAAGGAAGACCTTCCTCTCTGTCTCTCTCTCTCTCACTGTCCACTCTGCCTGTCAAAAAAAATAATAATAATATAATTGCTTCATATAGTACATGTAAAAGCTATGAGGCAATACATGTAATCACTTAGCACATAGCTCTTATAAATTTATTATTTTGCCCCATCTTGGCTAAAATCTGATTTATGTAATTAGCACTTTTGTGGAGCCACATAATGTGACTTGTGAACTATTTTCAGAACCCACTAAATCATAGGGGAGGAATGAATGCCATGCACAGTTTCTGATCAAATAAGGCAGTAAAAATGGATCAAAATGCAAGGAAATCCAACTTTGATATTTTTGTGTATTTATATATGTGTGTATTTTGATGTACATGTATGTACATGCATCCACCTATGCATACATCCATGAAGTCATTGTCTCAGTCCACTTTGTGCTGCTGAAACATAATACCCAAGTCTGGGTAATTGGTAAGGCAGATTTATTTCTTACAGTTTTAGGGACTTGGCTCTCCAAGTCAAAGGACTCTCATCTGGCAGGGGCCTTCTTGCTGTGTTATCCCATGGTGAAAGGTGGGAAGGAAAGAGGGCGTGCACAGGAGCAAGGAAGGGAGTCTAGCTCAGCTCATTATTTGGTTAGACCCTCACCTATGGTAGCTGCCTCACTGAAATAAAGGAAATAAATTAATGCATTTGTAGGGCACAGCTCTCATGACCTAATCGCCTTGTAAAGGTTCCACCTCTCCAGACTGTTGCATTGAGGGTTTCTAACACATGGACATTGAGAAATACATTCAAGCTGTAACATTCCTGTGCACATAAGTATTTTCAAGAAATAGTTCAGTATTTTGGGTGGATGAAATTATTGTTAGCATTTGTGGACATGCGTGCATCTACCTGAGTCGCATGTACTTCTTCCACCTGTCTAGATTTTGAAAATGATGTCATTAATTTAGTGTTTATACTTACCTTGTTCCTGTTGTAGGCTTCCTGTAATTGCAAATTCACAGCCTTTGTTTACACGACTGATCTTGAGAACATTTGTTCATGTAGCAGAAGCATTTGTGCAATCAGCCTTGATGGAGGAAGATAGAAGTCAAAGTTGTGGTGTTCTGGTGCACAGTAGGGTTACAGCAGGTGGTAAAAATGAACTGTATTGCTTTCTAAAGCTAGCAGAAAATATTCTGAATGTTTTCACTATGGAGAAATGGTCAGTGTTTGTGGAAATGAGTATGTTTACCCTGATTTGAACATGACGCAATGTGTGCATGTATTGAAACATTGAAGGTACCCAACAAATACATATGATTTTTACATACCAGCGAAAAATGAAAAACAAACATGGAAGGGAGGAAGGGAGGAAGATGAGGGTGAGATGGGCACAAAATGTACTTGAATTGCAAGAATTTGAAACATTTTTCAATGTTTTCACCAGATAGAAGTGATAAATGAGCAAATAGATTTATTTACCTTGATTTAAATGGTAAACACTTTGTACAAGGATCTAAATATCACATAATTTCACCAAATTATATGGAATTTTTATGTATCAGAAAGTTTTTGAAAAAGAATTTGGAAAGAATGTGTTTCCAAGCTGCTGAGGCCAGCGGTGGTGGACACCGTCTGTTAGTCAGACTGAGAAGGCGGCCCTGTGTCAGGAAAGTGGGATGAGGCCTCGGGAGTCAGGGCTGATGGGTAGCCTCTCTTTTCCTTTCTTTCTTCCTTTGTGACAGAAACTAGATCACTCTACAACTTTAATAAAGAGTTTTGCAAAACAGGACAGTTTCTAAGGATTCAGCTCATAAACTCTCACCTGTGATGTGCTGTTTTCTGTTTTGGCACAACTGGCACTGGAAATAAAGAGGACGTTATTCTTTATTCATTCACAAATTGTTGATGTCTATCATAGCTCAAATGGTGATTTTACTTGCTCTTCACCTGGGACCCTTTTTTCTTTTCCTTTGATTGTAATTTCCATTGCTGTTCAACTATTTAATGGAGAATCTGGCTGATTAAATCTCAGTAACCGCTGAATCCAAAGTAGATACATAAATAAATAACGATGACGTCTCGTAAAATCGGTGTGACCTTATTTTATGTATCTCTGTAATGTATCTTGAGCAGACTGACACAAACCTAAGGAAGTCTCTGAAATAAAGAGAGCTGGCAGTCTTAATTCAGGCCTTTAATGTAATCACGTATGCCACAATACGGAAAGATCTTAATACCGGTAAACGTGAAGGAAAACTACTCTAGGGTTGAGTGTGTTACTTTGTATCCATTGCCATATTAATTAAAGCTCCATCGTTTATTTTAATTAACTTATTTATCTGTTTATTTTTTTTCTTGCAGTCCCTGGATGGCTTTGTATTTGCACTAAATCAAGAAGGAAAATTTTTGTACATTTCTGAAACAGTCTCCATCTACCTAGGTCTCTCGCAAGTAAGTAAAACGATTTGAATTCTTGGTGGCAATTCTGAAGGCTGCTCCAGACTTCTGCTTTCCCTTCTTTAAAGGATATTCTGTTTAGCATGAATTATCAGATTTATTATTTAATGCCTCTACCTGGCTCTTCTCTCAAAGTCATTGAGACACCCGGTGTCAGTGTTGAACGTTTAGAATCAACTTGTGCTCAAAAACTTGAGTCCCTCTCCCCACCTGCCAAGGATCATTATTAATGTATTGAGAACAAATGAAGTTTCTTCCCTCAGTTGTTTTGAACTTTGAAACCTTTGTGCCCGATAGGAGAGGGACACACTAATAGAGCTTCCCTTGTGTCCTATTACTGGATGTTTATGGAGTACCCCGCACTGTCTTGGGAGCTGACACCATGGTAGGAGTCATCTGGAGTCAAGAAATGCTGAAAGAGACCATTAAAATGTGTTGCAAGGAGGGTTCCAGCAAGGTTATATTTTCCTGCCTTTGCAAATGCTTCCTAATGCCAAAAGACGATTTCATGAAATAAGGTAGCCTTATTGTTTGTAATTTAATTACTCAGCCATGGCTGTCCCAGGCTGAAAGGGAAAAAAAGGCAGAAGCCAGTAGGGCAAGGGATAGAATCTCAGAGTAATAGTTCTTGGTATTTCTCCGGAACTCCAACATTTTGGGTCCATTGGATTCTAAGACATAGGCTACGTCAACTGAATACCAAAATCTCCTGAGCAAAACTTTGCAATTCAGCTGATTATCCAGATGTGTTCTCCGTGAAAATGCTGAACAGCTGGGTGTTTGTGCCCACACAAGTGATTGGCTGGACTTGACCCCTTTCATCTGCTGGTTTGGCACAAGGCAAACTCAGCTTCACGGGGAGGGATTGTGTCTGTTGGGGGTGGAGGGAATGGGTTGCCAAGTTGGATAATCTACCTCTCATTCAGTTACCCCTTTAGAGCTAAAATCAGAGATAAGAAGCATCTCTCTTAAGCAGGACCACCCAGCCTCACTGCTACTGAAAGTTGGCACAGGTATAAGGAGACAGACATCCAGCACGGCTGGAACATCTTGGCCTTTAGTGGGTTTGCTGGCTAATAGCTAAATCAAGAAAGACACTGGGAAATAATATGGAGAAAGATTTGGCACTTGAGGAGAATCGGGGAGGAGGAAAGACACAGCCAAATTAGATTATTTACTGTTGAGAATCCAGACCAGGGGTCTAGTTCATTACCATTTGTTCGGGGAATATGCAAGGTGCTGGCTTTGGTGTACAGAGTACTTCTGTTTTATGTGGGCTTCAGCAAACTCTACGACAGAAACCGAGCTGTTGTTTACTTGGTATTCTTGTATCTTGTTGAAATCTCTGGTCTTGTCATGATTGCTAATAGACTTTAACCCTCATCTTAATCTGTTTGGAACCTAGTACTGAGGATCCCCAAATCTGAAATCGGTGCATCACCCTGTTGTGAATACCATATAGAACTGAAAATGCCGCTGTAAGTGGTTTTGCAATGCCCATAGTCATCTGTTTTATGCAGAGTATCCAACAAAGTTTAATAAGCCAGTAAGGAAGAAGGATGAATAATTAGTTGAAGCAGGTAAATGCTAATTAGGGAACTCCTGAAAAGCATCCACTGTATACTAGCTCAAAACACGTTTTCCAGCCCTGGTTAGTGGTGTAATCCAAATTCTGTCAAGGCAACTGCATTTTCTGTAATTGAGATGTGTATGTTTGCTTTGCATAACAGATGGCTCTGTGTGCTTAGACTGATAGCTAGGAAAATAATAATTGCATTATTCTGGCCAAAAGAATATTAGCTCTTGGGTTTTGGCCATTTCAGTCAGTCCTCCTGCCAGCACAGCATATGCACATATATGGATTGGATTTTCAAGGAAATTGATGCATCTGGAATAGTGTGGCCATCTGAAATATCATCTGTTCAAGAAAAATTTGGCTTTAACCCTGTGCTGGTTTCTCCCTAAAAGCAGTTTATTTCAGTGCTTTCCTACTGTAGCAGTAAGTCAATCTTTTCCTAGAATCTGAGACAAATAATTGAGGTTTCTACAGAAAAGAAAGCAGCTCTGTAGCCATGGGACAGTATTTGGCAACTTCGCACAGTCAGCCCCTGCTTTCACACGTGATGGGTTTTAGTGCATACCAGTAGACAGCATCTTGATGTGCTTGGGGGCAGAGCCTGGCCCAAATGCACTGTGGCTTTCTCCTGGGGAGTCTGCCTTCAGGCTTGCTAGAAACAGGCCAATGCACAGGTGGAAGCTATGAAGTGTGAGGCAGAGGACTTGATCTCAGAACATGGTGCAGCTAACATGATGAGAGGTGCATCAGGATAATGTGAATTTTTTTTTTGCATATCCCTATGTGTATATTTAGAGTTCAAAGCTGAAGTTTAAGAGTAGTTCTGAGTTAATATGAAATTAATCAGGTAAGAGCACAGTTTATTATTATACACCCAGCACAAGAGAGGCACAAGTTAAAAACTCTACGGCAACACTTTGAGAAGGAGTTAGCCAAACCCAGGTTGGGCTGTGAGTCCCAATAGGAAAATTGTGGTCCTTGAGACACAGCCCTTGTCAAGTTGTGTGAGTGACCTTTGTTGATTGTGGGTTACTCAAGGGTGATACACAAATAAATATACTCTCAGTTCTACAAGGTAGCATGTGCTCTTTCACAGATACCCACTTAAACGTGCATACCCTTAGTTAAATGCACGCCTACTGCTTTGCTTGTGTTGTACAACTTTGGCTACGTGGTTATTCCATCACAGACAAGACAGGGATAAGGAGTCTGTAAAATGATGGTTTCCTTAGATAAAGACACTGTGTAACTGGATCATGAAAGCCTTATCCGGTGGGATTGTTGAGGAATGTTGTGTGCATATCAGTTTGCTAGTCAGAGCATGGCAGTGCCTGCATATCTAACGCTCAAGATATTCCGTCCTCCGTTTTATTTGCTTTCAACATGTAAATAAATATGGTGGCTTTAAAACAGCTTATGCTCAGGAAAGAATTAGGATTCCTTTTTGGCTCACGGAGCAACTACATGGGGAAACTTCAGCTGAGCTCCCGGGGCAGCATGGATATAGAGAAGCCAGAGTGGATTTTTTCCTTTACACTCCATTGAGTGCACCAGCTGCTGGTGTCCAGGCACGTGCCGCGTGCGGGTTGTTCTCATCCGCGTATTCTCGTGTTGTTGTGACCATGGGAATGAAGTGGAGGATGATAATATCTGAACCTCCTCAAACACCCTTTTGACTTTGCCAGATGCACAGTGGGCACTCCAAAAAGGTCCTACAAAGCAGAATTAAAAGATACATGTATTGGAGTGCAAAAACATTCTTGAAATCCCTACCTAGTTTTCTCCTAATAGGCACATTCTGTGAACTTGTGTGTGACCTCAACACCCAAGAGCCGGCCTCAGGAACTCGGAGGATGCATGGTGCTGCACTTTTGACTGTGATGAGCATTCTCAGCTGCTCAGCATTCGGCCTTCTCTTGAGGAAGGTCCCGCCACATTGATGCAGACTTTGTTTTGCAGAGGAATTAAATGATTTTGCATAGCTCGGGATGGCATGGAGAGCTCTTAGAGACAAGTCTGCTCTCCAGTTAGAATGGAATAGGCAGAAATGAAAATGAAGAAAGAAAACAGAATGCATTCCCTGACACACAAATATAGCAGTGGTGTAGAGCCGGCCTCAGAATCTAAGGGGCCAAAACACCAGAGTATCCAAAGGAGCCTTGAAATGATAAATGCAAAGCATTTGTAGTTGATGTAGGACTTCAAGCATGGAGAAATATTTATTTATTGGTTTATACTCTGTCTTTTCATGAAGGATGTGAAGTAGTTGACATGAACAAATGCCACAAACACAGTATCAAAACAAAAGTAAGAAAATGAGGAAAAAAGATAAAACTAGAAAGTAGGTAACTTGTTCCCACACAGTAGGAAAGCACAAATAGAGGTTTAGAAGAGGTAAATGGTCTCATTAGGCTTCGGGTTTGGACTGTGAGCTCCCTGATAACCAAAGGAAAAAGGGAAAAATATAGTCAGCCATCAGAAGTAAGGCAGCATTGTTTCTTAAGGAAAGCTAAATTTTTCTGAAACAGAAATCTGAAAATAAATCTCACATAGGATTTTGATACAGGCTAACGGAAAGATTGACATATTGATTAGTTTCCACTGGCGTCCACATTCCCAGCACTGCTGTAGTAATCCACATAGCAAACACACACACACACACACACACACACACACACACATAGTAACTCTCATCCTTTCAGCCCCGGGTGTGCTGGAGACCACGTTGAGAGTGACACTCTGTTCTGGAATTCAGGCCTCACAATGGCATTGGCTGGTTTCAAACCAGGTTTCCTGTATCCACACTCAAACCCTGCAGCTCCTTGTAAGCCCACATGAGAAATTCAACAGAGTAGTTGTCAGAGGTAGAGTATATGGGTCTCAGTTAGCCAGAGGTTTTAAGTGGACCTCACATCTTGGGAAAACATGGTTGTGTCTGCAATGAAATGAGAGCGGATGACTCTGATGCACGCCTATGCCAGCAAAATATTTTCAGTCTAACATGGAGTCTTGTTTACAACAAAGCGGGATTGAGAGCCAACTAGGAACTCAGCACTTTTTGCAGTGGTGATACCATTGGAAGATACCCCACTTGGCGACCCAAGTCTCTCCTGAAACGCATTCTAGTGCCCTCTCCCCTCCCCAGGCCCCCAGTGCCCAGCTCCCGTATAATGAGTCCCTTGCCTTCTTCCCACCCAGTCCCTGCTCTCAGGGAAGATATTTCCTGGCTTTTGTGAGCCAGCCAGAAGGTAGCTGCAGACAGGGTTACAAATTGGCTTGTTGCAGGGCAGCTTGCTCCAAGGGGCAGGGTGGCTGCAGATATAATAAGAGCTAACAGAGGTGAAGGTGAGAAGGGGTGAGTGGTCGTTTTAAATTTCGTCTTTTATTTTAAGCCATGCAGACGTATTTACCGCAAACT